TTTTTAATAATATTGTCGTAAATATACGAATTCAGTTGAAATTATGTGAGTATAAAAAAATTCGAGGTAAGTCGAATGGGTACCCTTATATTAACGGGATATTAATAATTAAATTTTTGGAAAATACAAAAAATAAGGAATTGTTAAATTTTATATAATAAATTTTTTAGTATAAAAATATAGTTTTTTAAAATCCCATTATTATCAGGTTCGATTTATCTTGAACAGTTGTACCCGAGAAACTTTTGTACTCATACATATAAAAAATTACAATTAACGCATGTATTTTATTATTATTTTATTATTAAATTTATTCCTTCGTAGCCACTATTTCATAAAGAAATCATTCTATTCGTTTATTTTTAATAAAAGATGATTTTTATTGATGTGGTAGAACATATTTTCTCGCGAATTTTAATATTATATTAAAGATGTGATAAAAATAGTGATTGTAATTGACATGCTACCCAAATTATTATTATCACAAGTAGTCTGAAAGATTCGAGATGCATTCCCTCCTGTAGAGAAGAGAAAGATCACTGGTATTTGACGAATGCTTAACTTTTCTTTGCAAATGGATCTTGTGAATTTGACGTAGAATCAGAATTAAGTTTACTCTCCACTGAAAATTGTTCTTCTTTGTATCGAATACTAATCAGCGGAGGGACTTTGATATAATGAAATTATTGAGATAGTTGTCTTGAACACGATGAAATAATGTTATTATAAATTTATTAATAACTTTTTATCGCGATATTATTAAATTTTATATTCGCAAATTAATAATTAATAATAAATACGATGTAATTGTTAATATTTCTTCTGCGTTTATCAATATTTCATTAAACATGGGTTTAGAAAAATTTGTGTTATTATACGTATTTTCGATGTTTTCGTATAATCCCGCATTTCTAAAATTTATTAATTATGTTTCTATATTTACACTTTTATTATATTTTGAACAGCATTGATAATTGTATATATTTTATTGTAAATAATATATTGTATTGTAAATAACTATTATAATTGTAATATCGAATTATTATAATTGTGTAATATCGAATTATATAAAGGATAATACAATAAAGAATAATATTTAAAAAATTGCAATTTCACTAACGAAATACAATAAAATAATTAAACATAAAAATAAAAAATAAATTAAAGATGTACTTAACTATAAAAACGGTCTACTAAATTTATTAGTAGCTTGTTTGTTTTATGGGTGCGTATATTTACAAAGAAAAGAGGACCGCCGATAAAATTGGCGGGGGTGGTGGAGGGCCTCTATAGCTCGTTTTAGCTAAATCATATCTTAAATTGATAATATATGTTTAGAAAAGATTGAATTTATTAAAAGTCTCTATCTAATCGTTAGTAATTATAGAGACATTTTGATACATATTAGTAATTATGTTTAGTAAAAACGGGCTGAAAATTTGGATAAAGAAACATAACTTCATAATTTTGTAAGATATTATAAGAGAAAATTCACTAAATTAACTTGTTTGAATTTTCAATTTTGTTTATTAAAATTCAACAACTTTTATTTACATATATAGGAGATGCGAAATTCAATTTTTTTTTTCCGTTCAAGGATCCATTAAACTGATTAAACTATCCTTTCTATGGATAGTCAGCATGCTTCTATCCTGAGGATTTAATACAGAGACGAACCATATCTACTTTCGACGATACGATTTTATCGATAGTGTTAGAAAATGTATATAATCACGTAATTCTCAAGTTGAAAATGTACAGGCAATTTCAACGGCAACAGAAAAACGGTGTGGCCTCTCTCAGATTTCTCTCTGATTGAGTATATATAGTTAGAAATTTTGCTTTAAGCGGTTCTGTTTATGTAGTTTCCTTTTTGTATATATTTTCTTAATGAATTTTTTATGCCCGTTTCTACCAATGCAGTTTAACTTTAATCTCGGTTCAACTAACTCTTCATCTTTTTCTAGTTTTAAGAATAAGAAAAAGATAAGTTGAATCGAGATTAAAGTTAATCTGCGTTGATGGAAATGGGCTTTAATAAGTTAACTGCCGATTAACTTGTTAAGAGTTGATTAAGGTGATCTCGTTTGCATGGATCCTGTAACACATTTGACATCTCTGATATTCGTTTTCCCCGCGTAGTGCAGTATTTATCGTGCTTGAGCCACGCTAAAGGGTCTCATAGGGGGAGCAGGGAGAGAGTGGCCTGTGAGGCTCTCTAAGCCACGTCGGTGGGAGAGACACGACTCGTGGCTACGCCAATCGCATATGACCACGATCGCAATGGCGGCGTGGCTGGACAGTTTTGTGTTATCGGTTGGTTAGGAGTCAGTCTGACGGTGCCGAGTACGTTTAGTCTCCTTATTTATAACATAATACGTCGTACGCAGAGGAACCGATTTTTTTCTCCCCTCAGACATGTACGGTCTCCTGATAGTGGCACTGTTGGATCTAACCCTCGACGGTACGTGCACCTCTAACCTTCTCTTTCACCCTTGCGTAAATGAGCCATTTATCCGCACGAACGACTGATATAATGCCTGTTTTTTTAGTGGTCGGAAGTGTCTCGCAAGCGGAGATTGCTAAACATCTGGAGTACGGCAGGGAATTCCTGGCGAAGGGTCAACTACAAGATGCTTTGTCACACTACCATGCAGCAGTTGGTACGTTGAATCGAGAATTCGCACCCGGTTTTTAAATTTTTCGCGAGAGTGATTCTCTTGTTAACAGCTGTTTTTATGCTGGATAGGAGGGCAATGGTCTAAGAATTCAAAGCTGAATTTCTTTCAGAGGGGGACCCGAGCAATTACTTGACGTATTACAAGAGAGGTACAGTTTATTTAGCGCTGGGCAAAGCTAAGTTTGCCCTCCTCGACCTCGACAAGGTTCTAGAACTGAAGGCGGACTTTACACCAGCGAAACTGCAACGTGGTAACATTTTACTTAAGCAAGCTCATTTTGACGAGGCTGAAAACGACTTTCACGACGTGGTATGTCATCCTTTGTGTTTGTATTGATCGTTTTTCAGCCAGAGATACAGATGATTCAGTGAATTAGAGACTCTGTAACAAAGTTTGACCACAAGCAATTTTGTCAAAACAAGAGTGAAAAAGGATATATATGTTTGTGTTCACGCTATCTCATTTTAATTTGTACTATCTTATTCATTCTAATTTACTAAAGTTAACAAAAATGACAGACCAATAAAAAGTTCGTCATTTCATGGTTAGACTCTGATATAGAGTATCTACAATGAATTATTTCATTCTTGCTTAATAGGTACTAATAGCTTTCTACAATAAGCTATTCAGTCATAAATTAGAAATCAGGAGCTAAAAATTGACGACTGTGAATGGTCAATTTCTGGCTTCTAACTTCTGATTTATGACTAATGGCTTATTGTAGAATGCCTCTAACACTGGCACGTAGGATGTAATGATTTCTTTATTACATTGTTAACTGTGTCTTTTGCTGGCAAACATCTGTTATATTTTTATACTTTTTACGTTTTGTATGTTCGTCTCATGTTGCCTTTCTTTTTATTCTAGCTAGCATTAGAACCAAATAATAGGGATGCCTTGAATGCCTTAGATAGGTTATATCCAGCTAGAGAAGATATGAAATTAGTCGATATATTTGTGTATAATGGCGATCACGTAGCAGCTGTACAGCAAATTACTCGACTCATCGAGATATGTCCATGGTCCTCGTATCTTAGAGAACGTAGGGCGGAGAGTCATGTTGCCCTCGGGGATTTTATGAGTGCTGTATCGGATATACGTTCAACTACCAAATTGTTATCTGATAATACGGAGGGTTTCTTCAAGCTCTCGACGTTGCTCTATCGTCTCGGAGACGTTGATGAGGCATTAAAGTAAGTAATTAATCATTAGAATAATCGATATTTTTATTAAGACGCACAACTAATTTATCATAAATATTTAGGGAGATTCGAGAATGTTTAAAGCTTGATCCTGACCATAAGCAATGTTTCCCCTTTTATAAGAAGATTAGAAAGATAAAAAAGTTGTTACAAGATGCGGAGACAGCACTAGAAGAAAAGGATTATGACGCGTGCATTGATCCAGCTCGTCGTGTATTAACGCAAGAACCAAACGAGCCGAAAGTGCAATTCATGGCTTATCATTATCTCTGCAAATGTTACTCAGAAAATTCTGAGGCAACTCAGGCGATTAGTAATTGCCAAGAGGCTTTAAATATCAGAAGAGAACCGAGTGTATTGTGCGACAGTGCAGAAGCGTATCTTGCCGCAGAAATGTTCGACGATGGTAATTTAATCTTATGTTTAGTACAAAATATAATTTAGACTATCAATAGTTTAAAATAATAATCAAATTTAAAAAGGAGTTGGGAATCAATATGGTGCGCAATTCTATAACAAGAATACTTTAATAACTCAAAATAGTAAAAAAAAAGCTAATAAGAGTCAAACAGCAATAAAAGCAATTCTTTAAAATTAGATCAATGCAAATGTATTAAATATAAACATATAAAATATAAATTACGAAGCTCCAACATAATAAAAAAAATCTTCAACGTTACGGAATACAATATATTTTATGTTTCGGTCTTGTGTTTAGGCACTAGGTTTACTATTTTAATAACTCATTCACAACCTACACAAAATTTAAAATTATACAATATTACATAAATTGCATATTTTGTTTTAAATATGAATCTTCAACGAGTAAAAAGCGAATAGAAATTGAAAAATTCAAATTTGCGCAAAAATATGCATGAGAAAGATACGGATTTCAGTTTTTTAATTTCTATTCGTTTTTTACAATACTTGTTGAAGAGGGTTCATATTTGTACCGAAATATGCAGTTTGTGTAATGTACGATTTTTAATTTTGTATAGATCATGAATGAATTGTCGAAGTATTCTTATTGCAGAACAACTGCGTATTTTTTACAGAAGTTACATGAACTTACATTTCTTGCTACAAAATCTGCCAAAATTCCTTTTTATTTTTGATTATTATTTTAATGTTATATATTTTATGCCAAAGTATATAGGGCTTTCCCATTTTATAATTGTAATGTAATAAACGAATATTTTTTTCTCTTTTAACAGCCATCAGGGATTTTAAGGAAGCATTAGAAATAGATTCAAACTTCCAAAGAGCCAAACAGGGACTGCAAAAAGCGCAACAACGGCAAAAGTTATCGGAATCGCGAGATTATTATAAGATTTTAGGTGTTCCAAGAACGGCGAATAAGCGGGATATTATCAAGGCTTATCGGAAAGCGGCACAAAAGTGGCATCCTGATAATTTCCAAGAGGGCGATGAGAAGAAACGCGCGCAAAAGAAGTTCATCGACATCGCCGCTGCTAAGGAGGTTCTTACGGACGACGAGAAGAGGGCGAAATTTGATCAGGGCGAGGATCCTCTGGATCCGGAATCGGGCCGGCACCAGCAAGGCTTCAATCCCTTCCAGGAGTTCCATCACTTCCACGGTTCTCCCTTCCAGTTTAAATTCCACTTCAATTAAACACGCCCCTATCTCGCGTCGTGATAGAAAAATTACCATTCTCAAATTCTAACGCGCGCATGTATGCGCACACCCGTCGCTTCGTTTGCGACGGTATCTTTACTTCGCTCTAGCCCGAATTTCATTTCGCTACCTCGTCGTTGGAAATCGCACGTATTTAAGTCGTAAATGGACTCGGGAGATCCTATGTGCGCGAATTGTGTCGATAACAGATCAATGGCCATCTCGTGATACTGGGCAACTCAAACTGTCTCGGCACGTATCTGATAAGACGCAAAGGTAGATTTAATCGCTCACACTAGTTCGTCTATTGCAAAAACTTATAAATACAGTACTTTCTAGTACATGCAGACTGAGCGATGAGTATAATCCTATTTCGGTTTACACATAAACGTTTGTCGCGTTGTAATTTTATCATCGCATTATACCAATCTGTACACTGCTGGTAAAATCGTGATTATTTCCCACGTTACAATACGTAGGGAATGTACAGTGATCATCACACTGCCACTGATTGCTTCAGCGGCTGTCATTTTTAGCTTGAGAAAGTGCGACAGGATCGAGAATAAGTCCGAGAGACATTATGTCTTTATCGAGTACGATACTAAGGTATATTTATATCATTGTATACTACTTATGTGTACGGAATTCGTACTCGGTAATGTAAAAATAATGTGTAGAACAATGCTGTGCGCTTGTCATGTTTGCATGTGTGTGAGTCAGACCTTCATGTAAATACTGTATTTCTGATATTTGTTTAAAAATATATTTGAATAATTTATACAGATACTTCGAAGGCATTATTAGTGTGTAAAGAAAATGGTAATTCTCTTTTCAGTAATAAAATGTCAAACTCTCTGTCGTTTGTTCAGACACTGAAGCTCTTTTTTTCTTAGATGTATTCTTTGTCTCTTCTTTTCATTAGGCTTTTCTTTTTTGGCGCTTTTTTTTTCTCTTTTTCAATTTTTTCCACAAACCTTTATATTTTCCTAATTGGTTTCTTACCATGTGACCTCTCCATATCGATTGGATAACAGTTGCGGCTTTTCTTAGCTTCTCTTCTTCCTTCAATCTATTTTCCTCGACAATGCATTCCTCGATCAATTTCTGCCGTTCGTCCATTAAAGCGCGCATTTCTTCTATTTTTAATTTTTCTTCTTCTATTAGTTTCTATTAGCGGATGAAGATACTCATTATTAAACTCAAGCTTATCAGTATCGTTGTATTAAACAATTAATTTGCTTTTTTTTATTTTTTTGTATGTTAAGTTTGTTATCTTTTATTTGTTAATATGTTTATTTTTAGTTAAATATATATATATGATATATATGTGTACTATACGGATTATATTATTTTTATTTTATTTATTCAACTACAACTTATTACATTAATCTTCGAATATACCTTTAATTCATCGATTTCATCCTGTCGTTCCACAAGCTCCTCATTGTATTTCTTCATCCACATATCTATCTGCTCTTCTTTCTCTTTGATATCTGCTTCTAAATAAGTATGTATTTCAGCCGAAAAAGCCTGTTCCGCATTGTACTCCCTTGAATATTCACTCAATTTGTTCAGCAAATCTCTGTGTTGTAGTTTCAGTTTGAATTCCTGCTGCTCCAATCTAGCTTTCGCCCATTTTTCCGCATAGCCTGAATGCAATGTACTCAATCAAAACACTATGAAATGCATTTATATGGATTATGCGTTACCCAATTTTCCATTATTTATGAATGTCGCGTGATCGACTCGCGCGTCGCTTTCCTGCGCGAGTTTTATCGTGTTTTTCCTGTCTTCCTCGTTCACTTTTTTATCGAATTCTAGTTGTTCTCGAAGTTGTTCAGCTCGGCTGAGCCACATCTGGGCGCTTTCTTCAAGATTATGTTCGCCTTCAAGTTTCTTCGCTATATTATCAACCTCTTTTTGCAGACTGTCAAATGTTCTATGGTTCCTTATTTCGTGAAGGACTTTTTTTAGAACTTCATATACGTAGTTCCTAAATGTAGATTTATTGGAGAAGCGGATGCAAATTAGCGCGATTGCCAAAGAGCACCTTCCTTTTCAAAGATTCTTATTTTTTAAATAGGATTACTGGGACAGTAAAGTACCAAAATATTTTTGCGAAAGATTTGAATATACACAGAGCCCCGATAAAAGCATCTCGAAATAACGTATTATTTTCTGAGATCTTGTGATGTTTTTTTAATGAATTTTATACATATCTGCTAGTCATCAAAGCAATTAGAATGTAGAGTATACTTTTGCATAAGTATATTATAAAACATGTATGAGGATGTTTTTGCGCACCTTTCTCTCTGCAATTTTTCAGCCTTCGTGGGAACAATTGGTAACAGCCCCATGTCTTCTCTGAAGATAATTTCAGGTTCATCAGGCACCCCGTATGTCTTGTCGATTGTCTTGAACGAGTCATCCCAGCGTGGGTCGACGTTGGCTGGTATAATGAATCCGATTATGGCGAGCTGGTGTAAAAACTCCTCGAGGACGGAGGATATAGCGGCTGCTTCTAGCGGCGTGAATGATGGAACTTTCATTTCCGCATTCTGCATCTCATCTTTTGATGATAACGGTGTGTCTTTAGGCGATTCGGGAAGTTTCAAAAGTGTTTCAGACTCGATGAGATCTAATAACTGAAAAATAATAAATATCAAGTTCAGATTTAGATGATCTAATCAATTTGTGTACATCATTTAATGTCAGATTTTTTGATAGAATTTTATTTATAATTTTGTATACCATGTATTTTAATATATATGTTGAAATGTATACTCCAATTCTTTAAACATTTCTCGTATTATACGATATATAATATTATAAATAAAACATATATAAAATATGTAAATTTGACTATCTCAATGTTATCTTACTTTATATAAATAAATATATAGATAAATACATATATCTATTTATTTATTTATATAAAGTAAGATAACATTGAGATAGGCAAATTT